AAGTAGTTAATACCTTCATACTTAATACTTTAATTGTTTAGTTAATCAAATCCTGTACATCTCCGACTTGTTCTTTGTGAAAATTCAAAGTCATGAGTCAAGATGCCTCAATTTAAACAACTCTATTCTCACTGAGTATAGCAAAAACACATGCAACATATCATATACCTGCCAGACGTTGTAGGCCGTAGGCGTGACCTTGGGCCCCACAGCCGACCAAGGCTCGTGACGTGCAACACCTCTCATCCTAACTACTCTGCGCGCCTCACAGTACCTCCAAGACTGGGCAGGTGTTTAAGACTGATTAGTCGCTCTGATTGATTACAGGTCCACAATAAAATTTATATACCTATATTGATCCATCTCACTCACAATCTCTGCTGTGCCCTCCGATCCTACTGTTCCCACTGTTCCCCTCACCCAGCATATTCAGCATGAAGGCTACACGCCAGTGATTTACACGGTATGGAGAAAACACGGATTGCCAAGGTTTGGAGAACTTATCTTAAGCGCTACAAATATCCCACTCACTGACCATGTCGCTCCAGGTTGACCATGTGACCTTGGCTCGCCGCGGAGAGCAGGTCGATGGTACTCTTCATTTAACCCCTCACCACCTCATCTTTTCGCACACCCCACCAATCTCTCCAGAAGACCAGATAAAGGGCGCGATAACAAGGCCCAGAGAGCTGTGGATCACATACCCTATCATCGCTTTCTGCACCCTGCGGCCAGCTCCCGCGGCCTCCCGTCAGCTCTCTTCCATCCGTCTCAGATGCCGAGACTTCACGTTTGTCTGTTTCTACTTTGTAAATGAGCACAAAGCACGAGATGTGTTTGAAAGTATCAAACAGTGGACGTGCAAATCTAGTCGTATCGATAAGCTTTACGCCTTTAGCTATCAACCTCCCCCGCCAGAAAAGGAGTTTAATGGGTGGCAGTTGTATGACCCGCGCAAGGAATGGGCACGCCAGGGTTGTTTGGATGAAGGAAAGGCATGGCGTCTCTCAGAGATCAATGTGAACTATGAGGTATGCTTGCGCAAACTCATCCAAATGTGCTTCATTAACACATCTTAGTTCTCCCCAACCTATCCCGCCCTCATTCCCGTACCTTGTTCCATCTCCGACAATACACTTAATTATGCAGGGCGCTATCGATCTCGAGCAAGAATTCCAGCCCTCACATACTTCCACCCTATCAATAATTGCACCATCACCAGAAGCTCACAGCCGCTGGTCGGTGTCCGCCAGAACCGAAGCATTCAAGACGAAAAGCTTCTGTCCGCTATCTTCTTAACTTCTCGATCTGAGCGGCCGCTAGCGAGTTTCTCGGCCACAGAGAAAGAAAAAGATTCAAGCAGTCCAGAGACGAGTCAGGTGGTGGTTCCCGAATTGAGCAATGCTGAGGAACTTGAGGACGACTTGTTAGCCGCTACAAGTGGAGATTATGAGGACCATCGCTCGATATATGGCGCCCAGCAATCGAACCTGATCGTAGACGCACGTCCCACGGTGAATGCATTTGCCATGCAGGCTGTTGGACTTGGATCAGAGAACATGGACAACTACAAATTCGCTACTAAGGCATATCTTGGTATTGACAATATCCATGTCATGCGAGACTCGCTGAACAAGGTGATTGATGCCTTGAAGGAGTCAGATGTAACTCCATTAGGGCCAAATCGTGACCAGCTAGCGCGCAGCGGCTGGCTGAAGCACATTGGTGGGATCTTGGAGGGAGCCAGACTGATCACTCGTCAAGTTGGTCTTACTCATTCGCATGTTTTGATCCACTGCTCTGATGGCTGGGACCGCACGAGCCAGCTCAGTGCGCTGAGCCAGATTTGTTTAGATCCCTACTTTCGGACGCTGGAGGGCTTCATGGTGCTGGTAGAGAAAGACTGGCTTTCATTTGGACACATGTTCCGACACCGGTCTGGTCATTTGAATAGCGAGAAATGGTTCCAGATCGAAAATGAACGCATCGGTGGGGATCCAAACCGTGCCTTTGGTGACGGTGGGGGCGCAGGGAAGGCTATTGAAAATGCTTTCCTTAGTGCCAAAGGATTCTTTGGTCGGGATAACAATAGCCGTGACTCTTTGCCAGACTCAGATGGAGAGCTTCAAAACTATGACTCTGACACTCCTGTGAAGAAACCTACTACTACACCGCGCTCAGGGGTGTCCGAGAAGGAGATAACCAAACCAAAAGAGACGAGCCCTGTGTTCCACCAGTTCTTGGATGCAACATATCAGCTGCTTCATCAACACCCGACACGATTTGAATTTAACGAGCGTTTCCTGCGACGACTTCTGTATCATCTCTACTCCTGCCAATTTGGCACATTCTTGTTCAACAACGAGAAAGAACGCGTGGAATGCCAGGCCAGTGAACGAACCCGTAGCGTTTGGGATTACTTCCTCGCTCGCCGGGAACAATTCACGAACCCTCGATATGACCCTGTCATCGATGACAATCAGCGAGGCAAGGAACGACTTATCTTTCCCCAGGTCAATGAAACACGGTGGTGGAATGAGGTATTCGGTCGAACAGATGCAGAGATGAACGGCCCCCGTTCCTCACCGACACCCAGTGACATCCGGGAAAGTACGGTGCTGACTGGTATTGAGACTGCAGGACCGGACAGTGCTGGTAAATTGACTGATGTATCGGGGATGACAGCTGTGACTTCGGGCGTATCTAAGCTTGCGTTCCCAGCGGGCACCGATAAAACAACCGAGTTAGAAGTAGAGATGCAATGAACTAGGGTAATGAAAGGAATCGGATATGAATTTCAAGCATTTACAACTTTATGTTATGCATCCGCGTTCATACGACCAATAAAGTGATTCGTCCAATGGTGTCGGAGTACAATATAGTTAGATGTAATAAAAGTTGTTGCCTTATTGCCTTAATTTTGCCTCAAAGATAAGGTGATAACACTAGGACGAAACAGGAAAGGCGCCGGCAAGCGAGGGTTGAGCCCTGGCCCAAACGGGCAAGCAGCCCTAGTCCCGAAAAATCCCCACTAAATAATGCACTCCCAGAATTGAAGTCTCTTGACCACGATCCCCTCCGTCGACAACCCCCGATTCCACCACCACCAGGAACGTCAAAATGGCCGCTGTTCAGGGAGCTATTTCTAAGCGCAGAAAGTTCGTCGCCGACGGTGTCTTCTATGCCGAGCTGAACGAGTTCTTCCAGCGCGAGCTGGCCGAGGAGGGCTACTCCGGTGTGGAAGTCCGTGTGACTCCCACTGTCACCGACATCAGTACGTCGAACCCGAAAAACCAATCCCTCATGTTATCGCTTGGAAATTGCTGGTGAAATAGCCTGGAAAGAGGAGGAAGAGACAGATTTACGATCGCGATGGGATCTACGGAATTCGAATGGGGGATTTGATGCTAACGGGCTTTCCAGTTGTCCGTGCCACCCACACCCAGGAGGTTCTCGGTGAGCAGGGTCGCCGCATCCGCGAGCTCACCTCCCTCATCCAGAAGCGCTTCAAGTTCCCCGAGAACTCCGTCTCCCTCTACGCCGCCAAGGTCCAGAACCGCGGTCTCTCCGCTGTCGCTCAGTGCGAGTCCCTCCGCTACAAGCTCCTTAACGGTCTTGCCGTTCGTCGTGCCTGCTACGGTGTCCTCCGTTTCATCATGGAGTCCGGTGCCAAGGGTTGCGAGGTTGTTGTGTCCGGAAAGCTCCGTGCCGCCCGTGCCAAGTCCATGAAGTTCACTGTACGTCTATACCAGGGAAATTGCGCTCGACGAATCGATCGCAAAAGAAACAGTTTTGGGAAGAACATTATGGCTAATACAAGTAACAGGACGGTTTCATGATCCACTCCGGTCAGCCCGCCAAGGAGTTCATTGACTCCGCCACTCGTCACGTTCTCCTCCGCCAGGGTGTCCTCGGTATCAAGGTTAAGATCATGCGCGGCTCCGACCCCGAGGGCAAGGCCGGCCCCCAGAAGACTCTCCCCGACTCGGTCACCATCATCGAGCCCAAGGAGGAGCAGCCCGTTCTCCAGCCCATGAGCCAGGACTACGGTGCCAAGGCTATCGCCGCTCAGCAGGCCGCCGAGCAGCAGCGTCTTGCCGAGCAGCAGGCCGCAGAGGCAGAGGGTGGTGCGGAGACTTTCGCTCAGGAGTAAATGTTTTTATCTACATTAGGCCCGGCTCTTCCTTTTTCTTCCATCTGTCCTAACCTAACCTGATACTCTACCTCACGCAATCAAAATTACATGACCTTCAAAGCCTCCTATTCGCAATCCTATAATTTGTATTGGCCAAAGCGGTGGAGGCCAGTTGAAAGGTGTTTGATACCTGGTTCATATTGGCCAAGCACGCTTTATTTGTCATTGATTATCAGGCATCATATACTGCAAACAAAGACTCGAAATCTGTTCTCGGTTCCCACGCGCGTTTCTCGATTACCAAGTGCCTGTGTCCTACTGTGCGTAGTATGAGGATATAATCCCGTGTCCACATTCGGGTCGTTGATATTACTTTGGTTCGGATGTGACTGGGCAATTTTTGAACTAGGGCGTATATATCAACCCATTGACGGGCTATTTGGTAGGACTAGCGAATTCAGAGCGTTGGGGCTGTTTGCTTTATCTTTTGTTATAAACATGTAAGACAAAGGCGCTAGGGAGAAAGAAACGAAAACAATGTTAGAAGCCCAATGGACACCGCTATATATATCTCTAGTCTTACGATAATATTCGTACATCCATGGATCGATTTCCAGCTGGACTGCAAGAGTAGGAAGAACGCAATGCTTCGTTCAATGTCGCTATTATTATTTCATAACAAAATATCATCCAAGAAATTTCCATACATATGCATATGCAAAAACAATCAAGCAAGATGCGGTACATGCCCTAACCATGTTAATCATAAAACAAATGGAATCATATTATCCAAGATTCACAAAAGAAAGTAAAGAAAGGGAATGAGTACTGTCAACGCTCACGGTATGTGGTAGCGGCAAGCCGACTAAACAGCAGTTCGGGATGCTCCAAGACCTCCGAGTGCCGACGATGCAGCTCCTCGAGCTGAGCCAGGGGATTCTGTAGACCGCCACAATAAGTACGTTGCGCCGAGGAGAGAAGAGAACACATCAACCGTGACACCCACCCATTCCTCCTGGCTAGGCACACCCTCAGCAGTAGGGAGGGCGGCCGTACCGGAGGCCTCATCCCCGTAGCTGGTGCGGCGGATTGGGGCCGGCGTTACAGGCAGACTGGGGCGCTCGACTTCCGTTGGGAAGTCGGTGATCTTGGTGCTGGGGCGGAAACCTGGGGTTGGGGGTGATCTCCCGGGGCTGTTGGACTGAGCTCCTGGACTGGTCACTTGTGATTTTGTGCGCCGTGCCTGGATCGTCTCAATGTAGCGCTGGATCTCTGGGTCCTCATCCCAGGCGTTGGAGCGGGTGTATGTTTGCCATGATTCAGCACTGGGTTCGAACGGTACCCGAGTGTAGGAAGGGGAGGGCCCAGGAAGGGCTGGCTCGCTTGGGAGTGAATGCTGCTCTGGTTCGTCAGGTATCACGGGAGGTTCCACAAACTCCACAGGTGTCTCCTCGGCGAAGATGCGGGTGGGCTTCGGAGCATGGCCCTCCCAGGGGAAGATCGTGATAGGTTTGGGCTCCGGTTTGGCAGGAACCTCGTACCACATGTTTTTCGGTGCCTCTGGGTAGGATGACGGGGGTTGGAATAGATGCGTGTCCTCAGACATATTGTAGGTTTTCTGTTGTAGACTGAAGCCTTCAGGTTTCGTGTTGACCGGTGGTGGCTCACTATGGGATATTAGTACTGTAGATGATACAGAGGGATAAGCTCTCACCGTGAGGGATCCCACTCGGATCTTGGCGCCTCAAAAGTCGAAACCTCTTCAACCGGAGATGGGGGTGATTGATACTCGATAATTGGAGGATGAATTGGGGCTAGCGGCTGTGGTTGGTGAATATGGCCATCGGGATAGTGTGTCGGTGCCTGGGTCTGTGTCGGCAACTGTGCCTGGGTCTGGATCTGCACCTGCGTTTGTAGCTGATTCTCATATGTTTCATGGCTCAGTTGAGGCGCAAAAGTGATTGGCGCAGGAGGCAATGGTGAGATATAGGTTGAGACATGCTCCTCTCCGCGAACATACTGCGGTACCATACTCAATACGGGGAAAGCGGCATACTGTACATTAGCGGGAGCGGAGTGTTCATGGTGCGGTTCTGAATGGCTGTGCTCGACTGGCGGTGCTTGATGTGGTTCCTCGTGGAAGCTTGTGAGTTCTTCAACATGGCCAGGCTGCTGTTCAGATGTTGGTTGTATTTCATAATGAGGAGTGTTGTCATGACGAGGGGGTTCGTGACGAGGGGGTTCGTGACGAGGGGGTTCGTGACGAGGGGGTTCGTGACGAGGGGGTTCGTGACGAGGGGGTTCGTGACGAGGGGGTTCGTGACGAGGGGGTTCGTGACGAGGGGGTTCGTGACGAGGGGGTTCGTGACGAGGGGGTTCGTGACGAGGGGGTTCGTGACGAGGGGGTTCGTGACGAGGGGGTTCGTGACGAGGGGGTTCGTGACGAGGGGGTTCGTGACGAGGGGGTTCGTGACGAGGGGGTTCGTGACGAGGGGGTTCGTGACGAGGGGGTTCGTGACGAGGGGGTTCGTGACGAGGGGGTTCGTGACGAGGGGGTTCGTGACGAGGGGGTTCGTGACGAGGGGGTTCGTGACGAGGGGGTTCGTGACGAGGGGGTTCGTGACGAGGGGGTTCGTGGCGAGGTGGTTCGTGACGAGGGGTGTCACGGCGAGGGGTATGGACTTGATCTCCTTGAGCCAAAACCGTCTTTTCAATATCAACTGCCGTGATTGGTACCTAGATATATTAGTCCACACATCTTCATGATCTTGCATATCACTTACAAATGGCAGACGATAGTGTCTGTCATAGACAGCCCACCAGCGGCCTAGAAGCTGATTGTACGGGGACTCCAGCGGGACAATCTGCCTCGGCATATTCCATGGCTTCTGGGCACCAATGAAATGAATAAGACTGATGGTACTCTGGAAATGCTTGTACGCAGGAATGTACTGGTAATTGGCACTTGGCGTGCAATTATACGTGAAGCTTAGCCTATGCCAGTCCCGGAAATGCATATTCAGCAGACCCTGGTCGGCGCCATCGAAGCTGATACCTCGCTGGGCGAGTGCTCTTAGAGCATAGTAGTCCTGTAGATTAGGTCGGAGAACCATCATTCCACTATTAAAGCAATCCGGCCAGCCAACATCAGGCGCGGCAGCAAAGTCTGCTTCCAGTGATAACAGCTCGTCGGGGGCTCGGAGAGCTACGACATCACAATCAATGTAAACAACCCGCTGGTATTGTGTCAGGCGCCAGAGCTCGATCTTGGTGAATGTGGCAATCAGATCTGGACGGTCCATGAGCCAGAGATTCGCCGGCGTGTCGTTTACCATTGAGCTCACTGGGATCAACTCATCGTAGACGGTCTAATATGTAAGACAAATGCATAGTTTGGGGAATGCTGTACGTACCCTTAGCTCGTCGATAGTGCTCGATTGTAGTCTGTCTGGCGTGAAGAGCGCCACCAACCTCGCTTTTGTACCATTGTCGCGTAGGGAATGGGCAAGGACCATAGCACCTGTAGATAGTTAGAATAATGTCACATTCCACATGAATGAGAATCTACCAGGAAGGTAATTGTCACTTAAAAGAAGCTGTCTCATTGTCAGTTTACGCCATAATTACTAATGGGAAGGGGGAGGGGGGTTAAAATACCGTGCAGTAGACTGCTCCTCCATTGGAATCCATCATGCCACAGTTCCAACAGCCCAAAAAAAAAAAAAAAAGATCAGACGCCCGATAAATTCTGGAGCAGAGAAGAAAAAAACACCAAAAAGAAGAAGAGCTGTCGGGCTATATTTAACCTGTCAATTGCCAATGACAGTTCAGACCGGTAGCGCGATACACCGACTGTGGTACCTGGACCGGACGCAGATTCGAGGGGGGACGAAAACAGGAGATTTTTTTTCTCACTGCATGTTGTGTAAGGTTGAACTCTTAAGATTGAGAGAGAGAAAGAGAGAGAGGGAGAGAAGGAGTGGCGAGTAAGATTCTTAAGCTAAGTACCCAGATAATATGCCCAGGTGGAAAGCAAAGGCCGAGATGTAAGGCAAATTAAGGTCAAAGCTCCCGAGGGGAAAGTGGAGTTGTTTCCCGCCATCCGGGTAAATCATCGATCCCCCATGAATTCTCTACATTTTCTTTTTCTTCTCACTTTATAAGTATTCTATATTCTATATTCTTATGTCCTCTGATCTCTGCTTTTAATTTCTAAATATACATCGAAGTCTATCCTCTCTAAGTGGTCTAACATGGAAGTGGCAACATCATCTTCACCCTAACCGCTTTAGATCGGGGGTTGCCCCCCGCAATACGAAAACGTTGAATATCAAAGTTGTTCAACATACATAGTGCCTGTGTTTATCGTGAAAAACCCACTTGGACACCAGGGTAAGATTCACCAATGGCCGTCACAATATCCCCCTCTTCGCCTTGAGCAGCCCATTCAACGGCCTTGATCAAAGCTGCCCCGCTCTCACGCTCAACCGGAGTCCAATGTCCAGTATGGGGAAGTAGCACAATCTGGGACCCCTGCACCAAGTAATCACCCATTCCATCAAGACAGATCCTCTGGTCAAGAGCAATATCATCCTTGCCCCAGAAAATGGTCGTGCTAGCTCTGAGAGCGCCCGGGGGACCTTCATCAAACAACCCAGCTCCGCTGCTCGCCATACGCTTTCCGGATGAAATGCTGTGCAAGCTAGCAACCGTCTCAATAGACTTGACCCAACGCGCCATCGCCGCTCCATCACGGTAATAAGCCGCCATGTGGATGACATGTGCGAACGCGCGTTCGCTGAGGTTGGCGGGATAGGCATCACCGCTGGGAGTTTTGGTATCCGATTCTGCGGCGGATGGACCCATCGTACTAGCCATGCTGTTGGCCACGTCGAGGGGGGTGCATTCATCCTTGTTGTACGAGGTGAGGTGGCAACTTTTCAACAATGACCGGTTGCCTCCGGACAGGAAGTAGGAGACAATTGGCGTCGGTAGCTGCATGGCAAAGATATAGCCAGATAGGACAAGCTGGCGGGCGAGAGGGGTGAGGGTTCGGATGGCTTGCATCAGCGGGACGCGGGCGTGCAGTGGTGAACGCCAGGCGTGACCGAGCGTCTTCTTGGCCGAGAAGAGCAGACGGCGGATATTGGATTCAACCAATTTCATCTAAATTGTTAGTTGAGATACGATTTTCACCGGTGTTCTGACATACTGATGGTCCGTTGGACAGGATGAACCGATGGGCCAGGGACGGAGCTTCGGCAGCGAGGCGCATGGACAAGACACAACCCCAGTCATGGGCGACAATTATGGTTCTCTTTTTGTTGCTTTCATTGCCCGAGTCCACACCATACTGGGTCCGCAGGGTGACGATCAGCTCGGTCAATTTCTCCAAGACGTTTGTTGCAGTATATTTTTCCAGGCTCTCTGTTCCTCCATATCCAGGAAGGTCAATCGCAACAAGCGAAACGGCCTCTTGCAGAGCGGAGTTTCCGATAATGTGTCGCCAGATCGCCCAGCTATCTGGGAATCCGTGGATGAAGATGACCAATGGTTTATCGGAGTTGATTGTTTCCGGTGTGTTCGGGATATCGTTACTGACAAAGTGAAACTTGAATCCGCTCTGCAAAGTTAGAATGTGGTGAGAGAGACCTTCGAAGTCTTTAGATAAATCCCACAGGCGATTGCGAGCTGGAGAGTCAGCAAAGAACTTTCACGATGGTGAATACATAGCTTACCAAGCTGTAGGTCCCGTTTCTCGTTTTCATTGGGGCGTTTGAAGTATGTGCCTTTCACCAAGGCAATGAGACCGTAAAGAATAACTGTAAAGGAGCCGTAGGCAAAGACGGCCGCGCTGATCAAGGCACGGGATAGGGATTTACCCATATTGGAATCATGTGTTGAAGGAGTGAGATGGAGTTAGCTTGGAATAAATCTAGAGCTGGGGCAAACGGAGCCCGGGCCGTCCACAGGTAGCGTCACGCCTGAGTCAGCGATATAAAACGGGCACCCGTACAACAGTCTAGGTACCTCAATCAGTCATATCTTTGTGTATTTGACTTGTAAGGCATCACCGATCTATTTCTCCATAGCTTAGTATATTTTATATTACTACCATAATAGTCCAATTTTTACGAAAAATATAGCATTATTCTAAGGCGATATTATTTACTCTGCCTTATCTAGTATATTATATAGTATATTGTTTCTCTAGTGTAATTAGGGTTATTTCATAGATCGGAGTATTATTATTTACCTGCATGTAATTGAAATAGCATGCATAAAATACGGGCAGAAACCTTGACGCTAGTAGATCCACTGTGGAGGTGGGTGAATCTTTCTAGGGTACAGAGTAGACTGTTGTAGACCCCGAGTTGACGACGGGTACCTACATATTTTACATGTAGTATTGAGTACCTAGGTATCCGTGGATATTCCATAATTTAGATCATTCAGATGATCAGGATACGATTTCAGGAATGCAATCATATTATACTGTAAATTGCCTACAATTTACAGCTTTTTTCACTCTATGCCATACCGAACGCCGCCTCCACATGCACAAATATTATTGGTAGGAAACAGGCCCAAGAAAAACGGGGTATTAACAGGAGTCCAAAAAAACAAAAAGCCATCACCTCGTCGAAGGAATATATACAGATCAAAGAACGAATCCTAGTTGTTCGCGGTTGTCGTCTACCAAGCGACCATACCTGAAAAGTGAGCAAGTTAGCAGAATTCTCTTATAAAATGACGAGGTACTTACTCTAGGAGTAACCGGAAAAACCAAACCTCCAGATCTTCATTTCGTAGGGTTTTTTGTGCCCAGCGCTGGCCTTGGTTGGCGATTTGAAGAGCGGCCTTTTTGCCCTCGTCTTCTGAGGTAAAGTATCGCATGCTCTCAGTGTACTCGTTGCCTTTCAAGCTGAGAGGGACGTAATGTACCCAGGGCTTCAGCCACTCATCATGCCATTCGCGGAAGATAGCGATCTTGTAGACAAAGCTGTTGCTATGCAAAAAAGCGTGGAAGCGCCCACTGAAGGCGTTGCCGTCGATGTCAACTAGGAACTTGTGCGCCCACGCATCTTGTTGCCCGGCCTGCTTGAACACCCCAAAGTATTCAGTCTGCGCGTTGCAATCATCCGGGTCGCACTGGCCGATAAGTGTGAACTTGACATCGAAGGAATCGCGATAGACGTCCCGGTTGGTGACCTGGGTAACCCAGCTGTCCCCCTGGCGAGCGAGAATTTCGGTGGTGCCCAAGGCGTTGACGTTGTCAACAAATTGCTGCCGATGTTGTCGGCGCCAGCCACCCGCGCGCGAAAACCCACCGGTTGTGGAGCCACGCCAGTACATTCGGTCAGACTTGGCCTCCCACGCATAGTCTTTTTCAGTGTCGTAGGGGACCTTGTCGGCCCAGTACCAGGGACTCGGATAGATAATGTCCTGGAAGCTGGAGATCTTGCTCTGCGAGAAGATGGGGAACAGATCGTGGACGACATCAAAGGCGTTGGGTCGGTCAAAGAATCCATATGTATGGCGGAGAGAGGGAGTATTGCAGATGTCAGAGGCCGCCGTGGTGTTGTAGATGAAGCCGAGTTCGCCATACGCGTAAGGATCAACGTTGTCGGAGGGGTTTTCTTCGAGCGAGCGCGCCGGGCTGTCAACTGGACAAGAGATTCGGGAGTTTGTCCAGGTCGGTTGGTGTGCGAAACGGTTGAAACGAGTGGTGCGCACCTCGGCGATGCGATCGCCTTTATTTAGGTCTGAAGCACGTGGGGACCACGCATTAGTCGGAGTTTTCTTGAACGCTGCTGGGATAGTGAAGTCCTTGGCTTTCTGTATTAATCGCTGGAGGTCTTCGTTGGGGAGGATCACGCGTGGCTCGTCGTGGGTATTGAACACCAGGTCCATGTCGGGCAGGTATTTCACAAAAGCATCCATCATACCGGCCGTGGCGTCTCGCTGCCACTTGCGGTCGTCACCCCCTCCATCTGTTAAAGACACCTTGCCATTGCGAATCAGAACACCGAGTACCGCATTGTCAAATCCAAGTGTCTCGCGCGCCCGTTCTCGAATCGTCTTAGGTTTCATACCCCAGAAGGGGAGGAGGTTGTGGTATATGGAGTCGAAATCATCGACGAGCTGTACGTTTCTTGACTTGGCAAACTCGAACCACTTGTCGAAAAATGGGGGTGGGTGCATATTATAGCGGCGCTGGTATTCACTCACGGCCTCGGCCAGGGTTTTTGATTGTCGTGACTGCGCATGATTGAAATGCTGCTGGGCATTTCCAATCAGACGCGTGATCGGGTGTTCCTTCTCGGGGAGGTATGTGTTTTGCCCCGCATGGAGCTGAGGATGTTGTATCGGTTCGGGAGGAGGCAATTCTATGGGCTGCTCTGGGGAAGGCGATGATCGTAATAATAGGAGAGAAAGACAGGCAAGAACACCGATCGCGAGTAATACAATCAACCGTTGGATGCGCATGCTGCCATTGGGGGGATGCATGAAGAAGGACAGCGAGGCTAAATCTTCAGGAGGGTTCTCCATAAGTCTAGAATTGACCTCGGGCTATTAACCTTATCCGCCAAGCCTTTCTAACGTAATCGGCACAATCTACCTACGTACTCTCCAGGGCACATCTAAAGTTGGCATTCCCTTTCCGTTTTAGCGCTCAGGCCCCCTGCCGCTTCTTGCTCACTGGGTAAAACTGAGCACGCCCCTGAGTCCACTATTACATGATCGCTCCCTAAGCGATCTCGCTCACGTGATATTAGCGCTCATTAAGCATGACCTAAGCAAAGCGGTAGACCAACCAGAGTTCACCTCAATAAAATGCACCACGCTAGCCACATCTAGTGTCCTTTATAACCTAAGGCAATCAACTTAATGCCTCAGGACTCTTTATAGTTATACTGATTTTTTGAGTGCTTGTAGGGTAAGTATATGATCATATATAACAACTAAAATTCTAGAAATGTATACGGAAGCTAGAAAGTATCATTATCGATGTATATATATATATATATATATATGGGTGAATATATGATGGACCTAACCGCCCTAAATAGCTTTCCTTTAGTATGAAAAGGTTAGTCTCTACACGAGGAATACAATACACATCCCCCACTCCATTATCGTTCAACTCGTCTAATCAACAGATGGTATATAGCCTAATACATAGATTAGATGCCTCCCTCTTTATTCCTTTCCTTTCTTTTCCTCCGAGTCAATTAGTCCAGATAGCACAATATATTATATTACCATCTCTCTCCATAGCTTCCTCTCCAAGGAGATTGGGAGTTTAAAGTACTGTAGGGTTATAGTGAGTCAAGACTATCGATCGTCAACATTGTTTGAATGAGGCACAGTTTCTCTCGTCTTACCTGCTATGATACCATAGACTGATTCACTATAATTATTACATGGATGGATGTATCCGCTGTCATGCCCTGTCGCTCTAGCAAACTCCTACATATGCATCATAATAGTCAGGAAACACTCTTGACCGGGTTCCCCGCCCTTGCTTGGATTTCCTTGAACGAGTTTCCCATATTTCACTGAAATTTGTTGCTTGAAAGCCTGTGCTCCCGCGCTGCGAAACAATGTATGTGTTCCTGAGCGGCTCTGTATCGCAGGGAGAGGCAATAATCTTCAATCATCTCTTGACATGGAAGAAATGATGACGCCCAACACTGGATTTATTCAAAATGTAATTCATATCGAGCTTAACCGAATAGTGATCAAGGAAGTGCAATCATTGAAGGAAATGTTACGGGAAAAAGTAAATTTGCAAGGTATATGGGGGTTGAGGAGGAACGGCTTTTCATGAAACAATTAGCACACCCATTGGTATAGGATTATTGCCGAGTGACTTATCCCAATAAAAGAACCTTGGAAGGGTTTAACTGTATAATCAGTAGGCAGCAATGCAAAGGTATCATCTATTTACTCGATAATGTTCAAGGGGGGCTACCAGGCTAGTTGGACTACTGCACACCAGCAGGTGTGGATCTAATGCGCCACCCGACTACCCGACCGTCCGATCCTCCAATCCTCCGACCCTCCATCGATATACTCTGATCCTCGTTGACCCTTGTGGCTTGCTACTGTCTTTGTTGTACGGTTATATGAGTTAGTCTTTTGTCACAAATCAAAATGGTCTACGTGGTACCCCCTAAACATCCCTTACTCGGACGGTCCGCTTTGATTTTAACATGTAAAAAGACAGACTAACTTCACCTGGAAGATGGGGGACCTCACTTGTAGAACTTCAATTTCATTTCGCTGAGATTTATCTTCTCCTCTATCCTTAATTATGGCCAACATATTTCCTCACTCCTGTTGAACCGACTCTTGTTCCTTCATTTTGTTTATCCTCCTCAACTGAGAAATCACATTCACCCTTAATACCGAAGCAGGTTCTCGTGATGAGTACCACAGAAAGACAATCTGAAAGTCTGGACTTAGATAAGTCAAGCCAATTCGAAAAGCACGATGCGGTTGACTGGGATGGTCCTGACGACCCCGCCAATCCGCTCAACTGGTCCCAGACGAAGAAGAACATGCACGTCATTTTCGTGAGCGTCTTTACGCTCTATGTGTATGGATTCATTTCTAATAACTCTGGGAATTGGTTTATCGCGTTGAGCTCTAATATCCAGCAGAAATCTAGCAGCCACGATGTTTGCTCCCGGTGCAGAGCAATTGATATCTGAATACCACATCACTAGCTCAGCCATCGAAGCCATGGCAGTCAGCATCTACGTCTTAGGATTTGCAGTGGGCCCTTTAATCTTAGCACCTTTATCGGAACTGTACGGTCGTCTGATTATATACCACATTTGCAATCCTTTCTACTTCGCATTCACCGCTGGTTGCGCCTTTAGCACGAATGTATCCATGTTCCTCGTCTTTCGATTCATCTGTGGTTGTGCAGCATCGGAACCCATGAGTATTGGCCGAGGAACAGTTGCAGATGTAACTTCGCCGGAGGAGAAGGGAAAGGCCATGGCCCCATTTGCCGTGGGACCCCTGTTAGGACCGGTACGTCTGCGCATATATTACCGAAAAATCAATGGGTAATCAGATCTAACTTACAAGCTCAGGTCATTAGGCCAGTTATTGGTGGCTTCGTGGCGGAGACGATTGGCTGGCGATGGACGTTCCGAATCATCTTGATCATGGTAAGACTATGGAATGAGCATATGATCAAATAAAATAGTCGGATTTGATCTGACGCACGACTTGCAATGCGGCGTCTTCAGTATCATCTCTCCAATCTTTCTGTGAGAAACGAACGCGAAGGTTCTGCTGCAGCGAAAGGCAGCGAAAGTGCTCGAAAATTTGACCGCAGCAGCGGCCCCTCTGGACGGAGAGAACTCGGGAAGAATGCTCCGTCGCACTATCATAAGACCTGCTAAGATGTTGATATTCTCGCCCATTGTACTGTTCATCTCTCTTTATAGCGGCACGCTGTTCGGTGTTATTCCCGTCCCTCTTCGAGTCACAATACCACTTCGATATCGGAGTTGCCGGTCTGGCCTATCTAGGCCTCGGACTAGGCATGATCGTCGGTCTTGTGCTGTTCGCCATTCTCAGTGATAAACTTTAAAGGAGGTATATGATGGGGAGATTGGGTGTCTATGTACAGTACATCAGGTCCCCAGGGGATAAAATCCGAATCTGATAAGACACAGCAAAAAAAGTCTTTGGATAGGCGCTCATGAGTAGGCTACATATATACAAGCACCCTATGGAGGCTAAACACTGAGATCTTACGGTACAGTCCCATAACAATACCATGTCACACTAGTACGTATTGGAGATGTTACGGGCCCTGCACTTGGCAGTGGAGCTTAGAGTATAGCCCTAAAGTTCCACACGAAAACTGCCTTGGAAGGGACTTGTATGTATTAACCATCCAAGCATCTGCACTATGGCTCCATTGACCCTTTGATATATACGCTGGTCCACTTTGGGTGGGGATTCCAAATCCTTGATCCCCCGATCCTCCGACCATCCGACCTTCCGACTCTCCACCCCTTCAAGAGAAGAAAACAACAGTGGGATATGGAAGAAAGAGGAAGGAAGAAGGAAAGAGCTTCAGATACTGAGACCAATGTGAGGCCAGGCGGTTCTGAGGCTATCATCTTGGCAGCATTCAATTTAGAGTGAAGAAATTTCCCGTTCGCCTTATATGTACAAAGCTTCCAAAGTTCAGGATGCTTCCGTCCTAAAAAATGACTATAGCATCGGAGTTTCGGTTTATGGTCAAATCGCGAGGAGGAATGTTTGACGATGATGCCCAATTGGTCAGCGCGATGTTCGAAGGCTATGGAAGATCTGGTCAAGTAGAGCTTCCGTGAAACCGTGCACTATTATCTATGTTGTAGAGAATCTCCACCATATAGCAAGCTGGTGAAGATTTCCTCCTATAGTGATATCTAGAGTATGTTTGCTAGAGGCGATTGAGGAACGAATATAAGAGTAAATAATTAGAGGCAGCTGCTATGCTGTCGGCCCGTGCCGTATAAACTTGATATTGCAGAGGGATGAGACTGAGGCTGAAGATTTTTGAAGGGAAGTAGAGGTAGAAAAGGTCCACTATGTGCTAGTGTCTGTATTTACCTAGTGTAGTGGGAAGTTGCATGTAGTACGCTACGTATGGGATGGCGCGCCGAGAACCCGAATAGAGAAACATTGGTAGTTTTGGGGCTACAAGATGGGCTTTATGAGGCGAGGGGCGCACAGACCCCAGAGGGCTCTACTGAATACTTCCAAGGTTAGCTTCTTAGATAAGGTGGTGTCCGTATGAGGGTGAGTCCCACGCACATGTACTTGGGAGAGAGCTATAAATAAATTATTTCATTTCAAAGAAATACGCCAATTTCTACAGATTACAAACTACGTATTATGTACTACTATGAGATTTTAAAAGACAAAACCTATCAAAAATATTATAGAATGACCACTTTTTGTTTTTTTAGCCCCCAATTCTTGAAGGGGCCCAATCTACTAGTATATGGCGTTGCCCGGCTGCAGGGCAAGTACGCCATAATCTATTCATTCATATACCTGTCACAAGTGCTTAAACTACTCCGTACTCCGTACATTGATCTAAATTTTGCTACGAAATAACTACTAAGAACATCGTTCAACTATCATTTAGTAGAAAGATATTTCAAAGCCTTGAAGTAGCAAATCTGATCACTCTTATATATATATCAAAATAGCACACAGTTCTTTTAAACTACGTAGATATGTAGAATAACATGGTCCATAGTCCGTGATATCTCTAGTTACTCACTTTTGAGAGATGTATATATGACATTCCTAGAGTTCAATACTATTAAGATGCTGATCAAGGCATCTCCCTTTCTTGAAGAACGATCGAGTATGTTATATTTCCCCAGCACACACTAACAGAATGCCCAACAGCACACCCAATTAAGGACAGAAGCTGCTAAAGTCTGCAGCATGTACTTCTGTGCTTGCTTAACATGGGAGTAAGCCGCAACACACAACAATGCCACTAAAGACACATGACCAAAGTAGAACATTTTCCTGCGTTCTTGAAAGGTTCCCTGCATAAGCCAAGTCTGGACTCCCTTCTGGGAGGTAGGTCGTACGAAGAGAACGAGTAGCACCGCTAAAGAGATCGCGGCTAGGCCAAATTGGACGTCCAAGTCTTGAACTCGCTTAAAAATCAATAACCCATATTCAGGATGGCTAAATTGCACGAAGAACAGCGTATACAGCGCGGCGTGAGCCAGCAGAAGAGAGACAACCACCCGACCAAAGAGACGGTGGTATGGCGTCAACACTGGCTGAGGTATTCCGGTTAAAAGAGACAATATAGATGAGGCTGCAGGGCGAGAGATGTACGCCGGAGACATCAGAACTTGCAGTGGCAGTTGGGACAGGCCAACTCGGCCGAAGGCTTTGGTCAAATGGAGGTAGTCTAGCATGTTAGCTCATTCCTCAAATCGACTAAGAGACGAAGACATACCATCGCCACTGTTCCATATCGAAAGGCCTACAAGCCATAGTAGCCACAGTCCGCAGACAAGATACTGTCGGGTCTTTCCAGAAACTGGGCCATCCCACTTAGCGGTCGATCTCGTAGCAAAGCGAGAAATTCGGATGGAGACAATGACCACAATAATTGACCATTGTGCATAATATCCTCGAAGATCAAGTAGCTCCATGCGACGCAGCTGGTCATTTTCGGAGGGAAAGATGAATTGGTACGGCCACGACATGGTGACTTAAGAATAATATCAACAAGGGTTTCTATAGAATCACAAGTCAACTGACATGCCTGCGATATGCAGCGTTCAAAAAAGCATGTTCAGAATGTCAATGGTGGTATCCCAAATTTATATGATATGCTATGGAAAAGGAAGAGTCCAATCATGGATGTGCCTGGATGCCCCGGGGCCCCGGGTGCCCCGTGGCCACTATTTGCTGACAAATTGAATGGATCGCAATTACCTCGAGGTTTAGCCATTCTTTTTACGGTCTGATACGCAGGTACTATATCTTAGATACATTATGTGGGTTTACATGCACCGAAGGTCATCAGTTGCGCATTTGATTTTGACTACCTACCCTGGCTAAACGTTATGTAAAACCTCTACATTAAAAACGCCTGAAAGAAAAGGACGCTTGGCTATTCTCTAACCTCACAGGATGCCTTGTTGGGTATTGGCCGAACAAGTGTAAACTTTAAGGAGAGGTCTGCATCTCATCCTGATTACCACCAGCAGTCGTAGCGAAGTATCGGACATCCACATCGTCATCCTCCTGCAATTTCTCCAGGCTGGGCACAACCCTTGACTGAATCAACTCCAGGCTCTTGGGTGATGGCGCGATAGCCTCTTCGGACTTCTCCACCTCGACCAAGGTCTTATCGGCCGGCAGGCGACGCAGTGTGGCGATGAGAACGGCGTAGGACTTGGCCACATTGAAACGGATGTTGGGAATTTCATCCGTAACTAGGCGTTCCAGGATAGGGAGGAGAGAGTTCTCAATAATTTCGAGGTTGGCAACGGGAGTGAGAGTCTGATAATTAGCATTGATCAATGCAGTGAGAGAGGAAACTTACAGAGACGGCAAAGCACGTTGTCATGCGGTAAAGGTAGTTAGGGTGTTGACCCATGGCCATCACCTTGGGAATGATAGAAGCTTTTGACCACTCCACGCCGAATACCTCTGTCAGTTTCTTCAAATTCTCAGTGGCGGCCTCTCGGATAGAGAAGACAGTGTCTCCGAGCCAGCCCATGCAAAGATCGCTCAGCTGCTCGTCAAAGAACTCGACTCCAAGTTGACTGGCAAGGAGGGGGATGTATTCAATGATAGCAAGGCGAACACGCCATTGCTTATCCTCGGCCAGTTGAACAATGGCGGGAAGGAGAGACTGGGAGAGAAGCTGGATACCAATGACTATAACGGGTTAGAATAGATAAATTAAAAGGGATTAAGGAGCGTTTACCTTTGTTGACTTGCTCGAGCTTCGAGATGATGTGCAGTCGGACGTCGGGGAATTCGTCCTTAAGCATCTGGAGGAACATAGGGAGTAGGTGGGCAATAGTCCTGGACGATCAGTACAAGTTATTGCCAGCAGATAGGCAGGTAACTTACTCCTCCTTGCCCAGGATAGGTGCGAGCCCGCTGATCTGAGTACCGAGGGAAGCCCGGACGTGCTGAGAAGGATCAGAGACAAGGTCTTCAACGCTGGTCATGATCTCATTGAGGAGAGTGTCGCGATCGATCAGATGGCAGAAGCCTGCAAATGTGTTAGTCCGGTATCAACTATACCTACATCATTGGGCTATCATACCAGGAATTTGGCCAGCAATTGCGGTGCGAACCTCAGCCTCCGTATCTTTGAGGAGCTTGACAAAGGCAGGCACCATGTCACGGGTGACAACCTCTTCGTGGACAGCTTTGGCAATCTGCATACATTAGTTTCGGCCAATAGTCTGAAATTTGGGAAAGGCAATGTACCTTTTCATATCGATCGGCAACCATGTATCGGACCCTCCAGCTCTTGTCCTCAAACAGATTCCGCAGCGATGTCAACAAAACGCCGTGGCTAGGTTGCTGTTCTTTGGGAATTTCCTCTGCAATCGCAATAAGAATGTCAACTGTAAGCAGACGGACGCTGTCCTGATCATCGCTCGCCAAGTATTGGAAAAGGGGAATTATTTCATCGATGACGACCTGGCTTTGCATTTCTTTGACAAACTTGGCCAGATTGTTGGCCGCCTGTCGCCGCACCATCGGGGTTTCATCGTGTACCAAAGATCCGAAATGCTGTCGGAGGCTCTGTTGCAACGCTGGAGTAGCCTTCTTGTATGGTGTGGAGTAAAGACCAGTCGCAGAGACCTTCGAGGTGAACCAGTCTGCCTTTGACAAGCGGAGGACTAGCGGGACAAAATACTCCTCAACTTGGCTCTCTGAGAGCTGCTCGCATACCTTGTTGAGAGATTCAACGGCCTGAAACGTCAGCATACTCCTCAGAAACTTCCAGCTGGTGTGGTACCTTCTCCCGCACCAGCGGCTCCTCGATAGCCGCCAAATTCTCCAGCGGGGAGAGCAACACGTGCCCATGTTCGGGACCCCCAACATATTCTGTGAAATTGCCCAGCTCTTCACTCAGCGCAGTCAAAACTTCGTCCTCGTCCTCGACGGAATCTATCACTGTTAGACGGGGGTGCTAGGCGATTGAAGGCTGGACATACCATCAAGAAATGGGATCAGCTCCTCCCGGGTTCGGTCGGGCCCAAGTGCAAGCGCGATCGTGGATAGACGGTGAATGGCATTGAGTCTGAGAAGGACATCATCGTGCTAAAGAAATGTGAGCTCGATATTGTCTGCATGGCCGGAGGGAGACCTACTTTCAACTCGTCAATGAGCACGGCGATGGGGTAGAGCTCATCGTTCTCGTTCTGGCCCTCCATTGTGAATTTGGATATGTATTAAGGAGACGCGACGAGTCACGGTCCTGAAAGGGAAGAGGGCGGCGTTGGACCTGGCAGCGATTCGGCAGAGGAGGTGTAGGAAACAATGTGATGGCTGATAAGGATTAGTTCCGACTTCGCGAGATGGTAAGGGGATGGATGGTGGTAGAGTTGAGGGTGGGGTTTTGGGCCGCATGAACACCTTCAGCAGAAGCATACCTCGACAATTGAAGAGTACCTCGATCAACAGCAAATTAATAGATTTGATACAAGTTCGTAAAGAGAAAAGAAAAAAGCCCCCTTCGATGATGCAGTAACCGGAGCAGGGCAATCGAGCTTTGAGTGTTTACTGGTGTAAATTACATACTGGCGGTGTGCGCATAAACTTTTGAATATGGAGGGGAATTACCATACTAATACCATCGTCACAAAAGAGGGGGGATCTGTGGCGGTGGTGGCTTGCGGGCAGAATTTCCACCAGCGCAAGAGTCATCCAAGACTTTGTGCACCGATCACTCCAGGGCTATTTCCTGAATTCCTGTACGGAATTTCTCTATATTCTGTTGGAGTCGCCTACTTGGGTTTCGCTCTGGTTTACCGACATTTCGCTGATTGATACCAGAATTCGCAACCCCCACCATGCCCACCATCTCGGTCGACAAGGCCGCTCTTTTCCAAGAGCTGGGCCGAGAGTACGTCTTTGGATATTGTCATTGAACTATACTGACCTTGTTATAGATATACGACGGAGGAGTTTGATGAGCTGTGCTTCGAATTTGGTGAGTTGGTTGGGAAATCCTTGCGGGGCATGACTGACTTTGAATAGGAATTGAGCTTGACGAAGATGTACATCCTCCGAAACCCCATCATAACCAATGCTGATCGTTTCAGACTACAAACTCGGATCGCCCTATCGTCGATGGAAAGCAAGAACCTCCGCAACTCAAGATCGAGATCCCCGCCAACCGGTACGCGTAACATTTGAACACAAGAGATGGAAGAACCCAGACTAAGAATAGATTAGATATGACTTGCTGTGCTTCGAGGGCATTGCGCTCATGTTGAACATCTTCCTGGGCCGGAACCCTCTGCCCGAGTACAAGTTGACTCAGCCAGCACAGATGGAGCGGATTATTGTCAAGGAAGATGTCAGTACTTCAATACCTGTTGCTCAGGTGGAGGGGCTTCGCTAACCAAAATAGACCACGAAAATCAGACCCTACGTGGCTGGTGCTATTCTACGGAATATCAAGTTCGACCCGGCTCGTTATGCATCCTTCATTGCTCTCCAAGACAAGCTCCACCAGAACTTGGCCCGCCAACGAACTCTAGTATCAATCGGTACCCACGATTTGGACACTGTGAAGGGTCCCTTCACCTATGAGGCTCTTCCTCCCAAGGACATTAAGTTCACTCCATTGAACCAGACCCAGGAGATGGATGGCGAGGAATTGATGAACTTCTACGAGAAGCACCAACAGTTGGGCAAGTACCTGCACATCATCCGCGACTCTCCGGTCTACCCAGTCATCTACGACTCCAACCGGACTGTTTGCTCTCTGCCTCCCATTATCAACGGTGATCACTCAAAGATCAGCCTGAACACTACCAATGTCTTGATTGAGATCACAGCCCTCGATAAGACAAAGCTGGATATTGTGAACAAGATGATGGTCACCATGTTCTCCCAATACACCTTGGAGCCATTCACCATTGAGCCTGTCCAGATTGTGTCTGAGCACAACAAGGAGACTCGCGTCACCCCCGACATCGCTCCCCGCACTGCCCAGGCTGAAGTCTCGTACATTAACCAGTGCTGTGGCTTGAGCCTCAGCCCCGCTGAGATCTGTACTCTTCTTACAAAGATGGCCTTCCGCGCGAAGCCTTCGACCACTTCTCCAGACATCATCAATGTGGAAATTCCCCCAACCCGTGCCGATGTTCTCCACCAGTGTGATATCATGGAGGATGTGGCCATTGCCTACGGCTTCAACTCACTGCCCCGTGCATTCCCCGACATCTCCGGTACAGTCGCTCAACCTCTCCCCATCAACAAGCTTTCCGACATTGTTCGTGTGGAGACCGCCATGGCCGGTTGGTCAGAGGTACTGCCGTTGATTCTGTGCTCGCATGATGAGAACTTTGGCTGGTTGAACCGCAAGGATGACGGAAATACCGCAGTCAAGCTGGCCAACCCCAAGACCCTTGAGTTCCAGGTTGTCCGTACTAGCTTGCTCCCAGGTTTGCTCAAGACCATCCGTGAGAACAAGCACCACTCTGTTCCCATGAAGATCTTC